AAGGAGAGAAGGCTGGAAAAAACGCCCTAAGTTAGGCAGGGTTAGATCAGACTGGACTTTCAGGCCAAGGTAAGAGGTTTGGATTTTATGAAAATGCAGCAGGAAGTCCATTAAAGGATAGATGTAGGATGGTGAGCAGGTTCAATGTATTTGGACCGTTGAACATATTTATGAGGAGATAAGATGCTTTGGTCTCAGGTATGCTTCAATGAAAAGGTGACAAAGACAGTTCATTTCAATGATGTTTTTCAGAGCCTTTCATTGATGTTATTAGTAGCCTCTCATTCTCATTAAAAGGTCTCAAAGGAAAAAAATAAACGATCAGGCAAAAGAGGCAAAACCAGATTCTTTTGCTTTTTTCACAAATAATACATTCTTATTATCAAATGCATTAAGTAATGGATGGAAAGTATGCACTGTTGCCCAATTCAATTCAGCTGGAAATTTTACAGTTTTTGTGTAGGTGTTTATATAATCAGTCCTCCAAAACACTGGATCTAGAGCTATTTCTTTATAAAACATCAACTACCTGTTTGTGAAATCTGCTATGCCAAAGAATGAGCATGTAAAAGACAAATTCAATTCCATATGAGGTCAGTTTCTTTTTCCTTTTAGATTTACAAATTTAACGGTGCCTAACTTTTCAAGAAGTAGGTTATAGGGCTTCTCTTCAAGTAAATCTTTCCTGGCACATGGACATGTAATCTCATATGTGCCTCTTAATAATACAGTTGTAAGGTACATTGATGACACATGCCCAACACTATGTCAAGTGCTTTATAAGTATTAGCTTTGTAAAGCCTTAGAATAATGCTATGAGTAGATACAGATCTAATCACCATTGCACAGAAGAAATTGGAATCAAGAACACAGTGTTGGTCAGTGTTACAGGCAATATTTGAATATGGGCAATTTCTACACATTTTAAAAAGTGGCCCACAAATTTATATATTCATCTCTATTTGTTCCAATTAGTTCATGGTGCATAATATGATAATTCAAGACAGTGGTTTGAATCAGAGAACTAATACATGAACTGGTCTTTCAAGTTGTATCACTTCGTTATCATGTAGTGGTAAAAACATGGGTTTTAGACTAATACAACCCGGGAAGGCTAATGTTCCTCACCACCTCAGTATATGATAAAATTACCTAACATTTCTAAACCTGTGTCCGCATCAGTGTTAGCACAACAATAGGGCTTTTATAAAGGCTAGATAAATTATGCACATAAAATTCATTTTTAAAGCTTTATTTATTTGGGGCCAGTGCCATGGCTCACTTGGTTAATCCTCCGCCTGCAGCGTCGGCGTCCCATATGGACGCCAGGTTCTTGTCCCGGTTGCTTCTCTTCCAGTCAGCTCTCTGCTGTGGCCCTGGGGGGCAGTGGAGGATGGCCCAAGTGCTTGGGCACCTGCACCTGCACCCGCATGGGAGACCAGGAGGAGGCTCCTGGCTCCTGGCTCCTGGGTTCTGATCGGCACAGTGCAGCCGTGGCGGCCATTTGGGGGTGAACCAACGGAAGGAAGACCTTTCTCTCTGTCTCTCTCTCTCTCGCTGTCTGTAACTCTACCTGTCAAATAAGAAAAAAAAAAAACTTTATTTGATAGAGAGAGAGAGAGAGAGAGAGAGAGGGAGATCAAGCTTCAGTCTGCGGGTTCACGCCCCAAATACCCACAACAGTCAGGAATGGGCCAAGCTGAAGCAGGACCCTGAAACTCCACCTGTGTCTCCACAGGAGTGGCAGGAACTCAAGTACTTGAGCTTTCGTCTGTTGCCTCCCATGGTGCATATCCGTAGAAAGCTGGATCAGAACCGAAGACGGCACTCTGATATGGGATGTGGGTGTCCCAGGCTGCTGCCACAATACCAGCCTCTGTATTTAAAGTTCTTTGTGCAATGTCTGGAAAACAATTATTGTTCTGTCTAATTGACCTGTGTATATTATCATTTTTTTTTTTTTTTGACAGGCAGAGTGGACAGTGAGAGAGAGAGACAGAGAGAAAGGACTTCCTTTTGCCATTGGTTCACCCTCCAATGGCCGCCGCAGCCTATATTATCATTTAAATCCAGACATGCTCCACACACATACTCACACTTACATGCACAAGCAGTTTTTTAGTTGTGCTTGTTATTTACTTCGCTTTTAAAAAAATCAAAGCCAAAGACAGAAACACATAATCAGTGGTGTTAATTTTGCTGCAGGGCCCATTCTGTCCATTGCCCTGGATGGACCATGTGTTGTGGATTCTTAAAGATCCTCTTGTGGGAATGGCAATGGGAGCAAAAGGTGCTCTGTGGCCATTCTGTCTCCTCCAAATATTTACCTATCTGCAGATGACACTTCCACCCCTTCAATACTTCTCCCCAGCCTATGGCTGCCTTGTTGGAGAGTTACTTTGCATTCTAGTGATGGGTCCAGAGTGTTATGGGTGACAAGGGAAATGGGTAAAGTTTTGTTCTATGTAACACCTAATGAGGCTATTTTCAGTGCTTTCCAAAAGTTTAGGACCTACTATTGATCCAGTGCTTCTCATGTGCCAGGAACTGTGCCGAGTGCTTTGTTCTCATTATCTTATTCAATCATTACTGCAGCCCTATGCAAATTCTCAGTTTTAGCTATAAACCAGATTTACAGCTAAGAGAACATAAATTCCCATAGTCACTTCCATATGTATTTTGAGTAGGCTGTGAAGATAAAATAAAGTAGTTCATGCTTGTGTTTTGCCACATTTTTCTTCAAAAGTAAATTGTGCAAGGTTGCAATACTTCTGGAGTCTCCAGGGACCTCCCCTACAGTGAAGATAGATTTGGCAGAGAAATGAGGCAAAGATTGTATGGGGAAGGCAAGAAGCTTCATCCCAGTTGACAGTTTATTTTGCTCTGAAAGAAGCTAATGACAATGAGCTGAATCCTATTTTTTTTGTTGGTCACATCATTTTAAGAAATCAGTATGGTGCTTATTTATTGTGTTAGTCTGTTTTGTACTCTTTTAACAAAATAATTGAGACTGCTTTATTAATAAAGAGCAGAGATGTAATTCTTATTGTTCTGGAGGCTAGGCAAGTCCAAGGTCAAGGGCCATTTTGTGGCATCATTTTTCCAAGGTGAAAGGCAGAAGGCGGAAGGCCGTGAAAGAGTAGGGGCTGAACTCTTCCTATTATAAGGAATCCACTTCCACAGTACTGACCTTGATCTCTTCAGGAGGACAGAGCTCTCCTGACCTAAATAACCTCTTAAAAGTTCTGCTTTTCAACAGTGTTGCCGGGGCACTGAATTTCCAACATATACACTTTGGAGTACACATCCACACCGCAGTGTTTAGACTTGCTATTGTTTGTTAATCGGGTGTTTAAAAGGTGTAACTTTCATCTTCCCGCATCTCCTAAATTCAAGGGTTTCACAGAATCTGGTAGGTTTATTATTTCCTTTGTGGAAAGGACTTCACATGTGCACATACTAATGAGAATTGTGCCTGATTCATATCTGACACTTCATTTTTTTAATGAAGACTTGAGAAATTAAATAACCACCCCCCCTTTTTTTCCTGTATGAATAGGAGCTACTTTGGGATTTTAAAAAATGATGAGGAGTGGGTGTTTAACCTAGCAATAAAAATGCCTGCATCCCACATTAGAGTACCTGGGTGGGATTAGTTCTTGCCTGTGGCTCCAGATGTCAGCTTCCTAACAATACAAACCCTAGGGGCAGTGATGATGGCTCAAGCAATTGGCTCCTGCCACCTAAGTGGGAGACCTGGATAGAGTTCTTAGCTCCAATCTTTGACCCCAACTCAGCCCCAGCCCTTGTGGACATTTTGGGAGTGAGTCATGGAATAGGAGCTCTCTCTTGTCTCTCAACTAACTAAGTGAAATTTAAAAAATAAAAAGAAAGCTCAAATTTCAATATGTACCTTTCTTTTTCAATTTTTGCTTTAAAAACTATTTCAGAAAGAGTATTCTAAAATATGTGGTATTACTTAATGTTGGTTTTTCAGGACAATTATTGGAATCAACTGTAATTCCTTTAGAACTTTTATTTTTTTATTTATTTTTTTTTTTGACAGGCAGAGTGGACAGTGAGAGAGAGACACAGAGAGGAAGGTCTTCCTTTGCCGTTGATTCACCCTCCAATGGCCGCCGCGGCCGGCGCACCGCGCTGATCCAATGGCAGGAGCCAGGTGCTTTTCCTGGTCTCCCATGGGGTGCAGGGCCCAAGCACCTGGGCCATCCTCCACTGCACTCCCTAGCCCCAGCAGAGAGCTTGCCTGGAAGAGGGGCAACCGGGACAGAATCTGGCACCCCGACTGGGACTAGAACCCGTGTGCCGGCGCCACAAGGCGGAGGATTAGCCTAGTGAGCCACGGCGCCAGCCTCCTTTAGAACTTTTCAAGCTGATATCATTTATCCTGATACCAAATGGTTCCAGACTAGTGTATTTTTTAATTTGTATAATCTGATTTTCATAAATTTTCTGTCTGTGCTCTTATTTCTGCTAGTTCTTGTTGCTTTCACATCTCACTAAAGAAGTTTTGTCTTCATTTTCCATACTATTAGAGATGTCTAATTTACTGTAGACTAGGAAGATGTGTGATACGTTTGTTTGAACTATGTGTATGGTGAGCATAAACAGTGTTGAGTGTGGCCTGGAGTCTTCTCTATGGAAGGAATGGAAAGCGTGGTGTTTTTTATAAGCAGTCTTCATGTAGCTGAGGCGCTATCATAGACAGGATCACTTGGTTTCCTTACTTGTGTTGGGGAAAGGGAGGGGTGGCAGGGATAATTCATTTACCCTTTGGGTAATGCACATTTTCTGAGACTCTTATGTAGCCACGCACTGGTGAGGTACAAACATTAAAAAACACACACTCACACACAGCCTCTAAGAGTAAGAGTGAATAGATAGTGGAAGTTTTAGAAGATACATAATAACATTTTTTTTAAACTTTTATTTAATGAATATAAATTTCCAAAGTACAGCTTATGGATTACAATGGCTTCCCCCCAATACCGTCCCTCCCACCCACAACCCTCCCCTTTCCCACTCCCTCTCCCCTTCCATTCACATCAAGATTCATTTTCGATTATCTTAATATACAGAAGATCAGCTTAGTATACATTAAGTAAGGATTTCAACAGTTTGCACCCACACAGAAACATAAAGTGAAGAATAATAGGTGATTTTTTTTAAATGATGATGCAATCAGATCAGACCTATTGTCATGTTTAATCCCAGTGAGAGTCAAGTTGGGAGTTGATAATTTCTTCTTTTTTTTTTTTTCCCAGAAGATCAGTTTAGTATGCATTAAGTAAAGATTTCAACAGTTTGCACCCCCATAGAAACACAAAGTGAAATATATTGTTTGAGTACTCGTTATAGCATTAAATCTCAATGCACAGCACATTAAGGACAGAGATCCTACATGAGGAGTAAGTGCACAGTGACTCCTGTTGTTGACTTTACCAAGTGACACTCCTGTCTATGGCATCAGTAATCTCCCTATGCTCCAGTCATGAGTTTCCAAGGCTATGGAAGCCCTCTGAGTTCTCTGATTCTTATCTTGTTTAGACAAGGTCATAGTCAAAGTGGAGGTTCTCTCCTCCCTTCAGAGAAAGGTACCTCCTTCTTTGAAGACCTGTTCTTTCCACTGGGATCTCACTCGCAGAGATCTTTTGCCAGAGTGTCTTGGCTTTCCATGCCTGAAATACTCTCATGGGCTTTTCAGCCAGATCTGAATGCCTTTAGGGCTGATTCTGAGGCCAGAGTGCTATTTAGGACATCTGCCATTCTATGAGTCTGCTGAGTGTCTCACTTCCCATGTTGGATCACTCTCCCCTTTATTTATTCTATCGGTTAGTATTAGCAGGTACTAGACTTGTTTATGTGCTCCCTTTGACTCTTAGTCCTTTCATTATGATCAATTGTGAACTGAAATTGATCACTTGGAATAGTGAGATGGCATTGGTACATGCCGCCTTGATGGGATTGAATTGAAGTCCCCTGGTATGTTTCTAACTCTACCATTTGGGGCAAGTCAGCTTGAGCATGTCCCAAATTATACATCTCTTCCCTCTTTTATTCCCACTCTTATGTTTAACAGGGATCACATTTCAGTTAATTTTCAACACTTAAGAATAACTGTGTGATAATTACAGAATTAAACCAGTCATATTAAGTAGAACAGACAAAAAAATTACTAAGAGGGATAATGTATTAAGTTGTTCATTAACAGTCAGGGCTATGCTGATCAAGTCACCGTTTCTCATAGTGTCCATTTCACTTCAGGAGGTTTCCTTTTTGGTGTTCAGTCAGTTGTCACCGATCAGGGAGAACATATGGTATTTGTCCCTTTGGGACGATACATAATAACATTTTGATGTCTCAGAAGAAGAGATAACTGCAGCTCAAGAAAGAGTTGAAGAGGAAGGCAAGTTTGAAGTGACTCTTGATGTGATGAGCAGATTTTGGACATAGAGCAGAGAGGAGGAATGGTGTGTGAAAGTCCAACTTGGGGAGCAGAAATGATAGGGATAGATAATGTGTATGACAGGATAGGTGGGGTTTATCAGAGAAACTACAATTGTGAAGAAGCTGGGCAATTCAAGGCCCTTAAAGGGTCAGTTGTAAGCAGGGAAAAGTCATCAGCCACAGTCCCTGAGAAGGAGCTGGGAAAGAAGTCTGGGGAAGGCCATTGCCTCCATCTGTGGTGGGACAAACAAGCCAGAGGGAAAGTCCGAGGGACGTGAAAAGCAATTGGAACTCACAAGGATGAGTTGTAGTCCTTTACTGTTTTCACTGTGCTTAACCCCGATGCTGTGGGCAGCCTACAGCAGGGGCGTGGAGCTTCACACCTATCCCAGGCCTGACTTGGAGAAATTAAAGGGTCAGATTTGGCAGGCATTGAAGGAGCAGTGGGTCAGGTTGTTGCCTTCAGCTAGGAGGTGAGTCAGCAATTAACTACAATGTGCAGGAGCTGCAGTTGTACCTGGGGGCTGAAATGGATGGATTTCCTTATAGCCATCTCTGACTCAGATCCACAGGGGAGAAAGAAATAGGATGAAGCAGTTCAAAACCACAAGTGATAAAGGGAACATTATGAAAACAAAATGAGAGAACCCAGAGCCTTGCTTGGGGAGAGAGCCCAGTCTAATTGGGAATGTCACACCAGCACAGAGAGCTATGAGGATCAGACAGAAAAGGTGAGCAGGGGCTGCATTGTTGAGGATCGTCAATAACCTGTGAGGAATTTGTGCACAATCTTGTAAGGCAGGGAGAGACACTTAACATTCTTGAGCAACATGTGGGCGTATTAGGTGTGTGTTTCAGACATGTGGCATTGGGATTTAAAGCATTGGCACTTGAAGAGAGGGAGTAAGTCAGGTAAGTAATGAGAATTCTCTTGTAGTAATCCAGACAAAATGTATTCCCAGAGCTTGCTCTTGTTCTCACTGAGGGTGGTGACCCAGAATCATTGTAAGAGGTTGTTCAGGATCAGCATGGGAATTAAAAGTGTTGGTGCACATTGCAAATCAAGACAATTTTACATATGGTTGATTTTGTCAACTCTTATGTTCTGGTGGTACAACAGATACTTTTCTCTAATGTTCCCTGATGTTTCCTCTGTAGTATGAGAAAAGCAAGGAAAGTTTGCATGTAGTTGGAACATTGGCTAAAATTTAACTGGTTTATGCAACCATATCAGTATCATTTTGAGATAGGAGAGATCTTAAAAAACAAATATTCTACCTGTTTCATGTAGTAAACCAAGGCTCTTTGTCTCTTCTGAGTAGTTATGAGGTTATTCCCTCATCTTTGTGCAAGTGCCCAACATCTTAGAAACATTATCTCATTTGATTTGATAACAGCTCTGTGAAGTTTGGTCTGAATTATTATAAATGAGAAACCTGAGGCTCAGAGGTGGGATGATGATTTAAGTGGCCACTTAGCCTTGGATGATTCAAGACAGCTCACTGGAGTTCTGAGTGTGTACCTTTCTATCTCTTAGGTTTCCATTTCACTTCACGCACCACTCCTAAAAATCTTCTTGAGACAGATCTTTGGTCATAATGTGTCCCTATTCTTAATCTGTCCATAGTTTTTGAATGTCATCACTTTTAAGGTTTCTTTCCACCTGGAGGACAGGCCCCTTATAATCCAGGAACTCTTGTGATTCCTTAGCCCCATGCAGTATTCTTACTGCTCTCCTTCTAAACACAGAACACCAAACACAGGAAATAGTAGAACATATACACATACCTGAAGAGGTACCTTAAAATTCCTAGGTGCTTCTCACATCGTTTAGTTCTACCATTCCATAAGTCTTCCCTGGCAGCACTTCCTAGTACATACTTCTGAATGTTTAATAACCCCATCTTGGGTTCCTGTTTGCTAAGACACAGCTGAATTCATTCTTGAGATATTTAAAATGCTCACTGAAACCCAGTGCTGTATCACCTAAGATTTCAATAACTGACAGCAGGTGACTAGAAAACCTTATAATCTCTGTTCAGTGCACCCTTGTGATGTTTTTGCCCTCCTAGAAGGATCCCTGGGGCTTATCAACTTGGGGTGACTATTTCAGGTTTTTGCTTTGAGGAATACAGAATTTTTGTAGCTAATTATTTAGATACATGGACTTGGAGGAGCCAGACGAGGCTTACAGAAGTCAAGCTTTCCCGGCTGGCGTCAAACGGAGTACATGCCATGATCACTAGGGTCAAAAACCCCTGGCTTTGCAAATATAAAACAGAGGAACATGCCATGGTTAGAGTGAGTCAAACCTGTCTGTGTCTGTCCTTCCAAGTTCTGGTAATGTACTTTCTAGTAGTATGGTGTACTGTTTCCTCTTGCCTTGGCTCTCACAGGTGAGATTGGCTTTATTTCTCCTTACCTGATATTTGGCATTCAGATATGAGGTGATGTAGGGGAAAAGGTTGGGAGAATCAATGGCTGGATTTCTAGTGATAAGAAAAAAATTAATAATGATCAAAAATTTGGAGTGCTTACTATGTGCCAGGTTCTTCATGAAATTATCACCAGTAATCCTTTTACCTAGTTTGCTAAGGTGCCTTACTGACCCTGTTCACCAGGAAGGAAACTGAAACTTTGTGTGGTTAAGAAATTCTGGAGGATTTGGGTTCAGAGCCATGTGATTCTAATGATCATGTTGACAACCTGTGCTTTGCTTAGACCTGCTGAGGAGTGCTCTGTGTCTCCTGACCCTGCTCCACTGTGCCTGTACCTGCAGTTGAGAGTCTGATAACAGTTTAGTTACTACACTACTTTGTCTGAAAATCTGTTAGAAACTCAGCATAGACGGAGCCAGCCCTATTGGCCCTTTGAGTTTCTGCCTTCTTGTTGCTTTCTTTTCACCTTTTCCAGTTTCTTTTTAGGTTTAGTCACCATGGGCAGTGCTTTAATCAATTGATCACTGTTCTTCCTGTTTTAGTGACATTGTCATTTCCTCAGTGTGTTCTTCTCCCTTTGAATTTCAGGCTGCAGAGTAGGGGAAAAAGTAAGTGCTTTCCAAAAGCCCTAGCTTATGATTTTTGAAAATGAGGTCTACAGAGATATGGAAACACTGCTTTTAAATACATAGAACCACTGGTTTATGCCCAAAGGTTTCTGTAGATGTGACCCCACCATCCTCCCACACAAAAACAAATAGATCAAAATTACAGAGGAGCAGAGTCTGGCTCAGTATAATGACACCTTTATTACAGCTAAGGCCATATGAAAAGTAAATTGATAATTAGTTCACCATCACTACAGATATTTAAAATGGACCCAGACATACTCTTTGTAAGGATGTTACAGGGAGATTTGAATATTGCAAAAAGAGTTTGAATCAAAATGACATTTAAGAGTTTTTCCGGCCTTGAGATTCTGTCTTGAATTCACTTAGAAACTTCATATTGAGAATAAAGGTTTCCCCTTGTTGTAATTAACATCAACTAGTGATGTCGCCTCCCCCTGCCCCCCTGTGCTTCCCCCTTCTGAACAACTACTCGATTTAAGAAGGAGACTTAGGATGAGGAAGGATGTGGTTCTCTCCCTCTTGGCAGCACTCCTTGTCAGAATGGAAGACTTGTGTCTGGACCTGGCACAGTTCCGTCCAGCCCTCTTACCAGCCTAGTTCTGTCTGTGACCAGAGCACGTGGGAGGTGCACATCCGTGTAGGAAAACCTCCCACTGGCTGCTAGCTCTATTTTTTTTTTTTTTTTTTGTTCCTAATGTATGAAGTCTTGCCCAGGGCAAACCTCTTGTAGGAATAACACACCCTGAAACAAGTCTGAGTCAGCCCAGACAAGCATCCCCTGAAAAATATTCCCTTTGCAGTTGGCAGCATATGAGAAAGCATCTTTGAGAGCAGGTTCTTCTTGTGATTTCAAAGGAAAACAGCTTGCGGGTCAGAATATCAGGAGCACAATTATTTTATTTATATTTTCCTATTTTCTTCCTATGTTTTGAATTGGCTTACTACTAATCTGAAAGTGCCAGTGTTCCAGAATGATAAGCCTTTGACTTAATGTCAGAATTGGGACAGTTCACTGATTCTTGAAGAAAAGAGTGCTGCAAGGATAGGAAGTGTCCAACAGCTAATGAACAGCTTTGATTCGAAAGAATGAAAAGAGGGAAAGACAAACTGGCAGTAGATTCTACTGGTCAGCATTGCAACTAAGAATAGACAGTGCTTTTCAATTAAATAAGGTGCTCTTTTCCCTCACAATTTACAGAGACCTCACAAATCTCTAAACAGTCTCAATTTTTCTTTAAATGAAATGTGATGGCACTGTGTGCTTGGCTCAGTTCTATCAGTTTTGGATATCTCAAACTCAGGAGTCATATCCCTTAAAGGAAAGCTTCAGAAACTCACAGATATCAGGTCATTCCAACTGTCACCAGAAAAATAAAGATGTCAAAAACTTGGTAGCTACAATGACTCCTTAGGGATCAGATCCAAGGCAGCCTATAGGAGGTTTGACTAAGATTTCCCATGTATGCCATAAACCTTCATAAAGTCGTAGGAAGAAAACAGCAACCTCAGCTCTTTTAGCAGCTGGTTCATTGCACCTGTGCCCAAATAGCTGTCCTCTTTTGATACAGGATCATTGCCTGTTTAGACATGATTCTTTCCTCGGATATAAATGGTGTGTTATTTTTAGGGGACAGATATATTTCTTAGTGGCTTTTCAGTTAGGGGGTTGCATGGTTTCATCTGAGAAAGGCCTAAACTGGGAATTAAAAGATACTTTTCCATTAATAACTTATTGACCTCATGAACGTTACCTCTGGTTCCTGGGCTCTTGTTTTCCCAAATAGTGTCCCAAATAACATTATTGACTTCTGAGGTCCTTTTTGATTTTCCAGAGGTCATCTTGATAAGAAGATAGATACAGAATGAGAGAATTAAAAAAAAAAAGGCAAAAAGACTGTGGAGCTTCGGGAAATAAGAGTCCACTGCATGAAATACATCTCAGAAAGCAACATTGCAACAAAAGTCTCCAATATAGAAAACTTAGTCTGTATTGCACACCACACGATATGTGGATTTCCCTTATTTGTCTCATCTCATTTCTATTTGCTGAGAGCTGCCTAGAAATATGAATCATAGTCATGAGGAAGTTTAAAGGTCATCTTGTTCAAATCACGACTGTTTTACATAATTGTTATGATTTACATAACAATTCGGAGGCCCTTCCTTTTCCTGAGTTACACAGAGCTTTGAACTCAAGACTTCTGACTCCTTGAGCAATATGCTTCCATGTACAATTGTGAGAACTTCAAGAGAAAGAATCAGATTGGATCTTCAAAGTTAATTGATTCTACGCAATAAAATTTAGTGGCCAGAAACACATATATCAAGCTTTGCCGGTTGAGCGTGTGTATGATATAGTTTTCCCATAACAAATGTTCTGGATGTAAGTTCCCTTTTGTGACAAGTACTGCCACCGCCTTCTGCCTTCTCCGCCTCCCCTCCCCCCTCTCATCCTCCCCCCTTTTCTCTCTCCCTCTCCATCTCCTTCTTCTTTCAGAAGGTCTACCTTCTCCAAGAAAAACTATGGTTTATAACTCACTCTCAGGGATCCTCTAGAGTCACTCATGTTCAGATTTCCTGATGACAGTTTTTTTTTTTTTTTTATGATTTCACTTATTTATTTATTTGAAAGGCAGAGTGACAGAGACAGGGAGAAATAAAGAGAGAGAGGGAGATCCTATATCCATGGTTCACTCCCAGAATGGCCGCAATGGTTAGGCCTGGTCTAGGCCAAAGTCAGAAATCCAGAACTCCATTTGAGTCTTCACATGGCTGGCATGGGCTCAAGTACTTGCACCATCTTCTGTTGCTTTCCTAGGCACATTAGAAGGAAGCTGGATTGGAAGGGGAGTAACCAGGCCTAGAGCTCTGACATGGGGTGCTGGTGTCCCAGGTTGTGGCTTAACATGCTGTGCCACAGCACTGGCTCCAATCAAGTATTTCTTCTTTATTTCCCAAGAAACTTTTTATTTAAGGTATATAAACTTGATGCATTACGTAAATGCAACTTTAGGAACAAAGTGACAGTGATTCTTCCCACACATTATTGCTTAAGGTGGATTAAAATGAAACTTAAGCTCTCTGAAAATACTCAGTTTGATAATTGAGTATATATGTACATACTGATGAGTACATTTTAGGTTGTAGACCATTAGGAGAAGTTAAAATTTAGTTCCTAATTTCCAATTTTATAATCATAAAGTATCTACAAACACAACGCCAAACAATTGTTGTATCCTGTGTTACAGCTTTGAATATTTTCAGCAACCTACTGATCTTTGATCAATCAGGTTATCCATATGCTTTTGTTTTACTGTTATTAAATGCAATGCTTGGTTCAATAGCTTCCTTAAGTCTCCTTTAGCCAAAGATCTTGTAACTATTTTAACAGAACATCTTTCTAAAGTTATTTTATACTTGGCAAGTATACTGAGAAATTACACTCCATTAGTCATTCAGGATCATGATTTTGAGCGACAATTATTTTTCACTGTGCAGGGTGATGTCCCCAGGGATTATTGGCGTGTGTAAGACTCCAACACTCTAACACTAAATAGCCCCAAACCCTTGCATTTTTTTTTTTTTTTTTTACTTATTTGCTTTGACATCTTAACCTTTTCACTGCAATCAACATGCCTACTTATAACATCATTTGCTTTCCATCTAAGTTTACTACTTCTCTGCTTTGGCATAAAGACTCACATAACCCAGTTGTTGGAATGAGGATCTGAGGGTATGTACTATAATTGAAATTGATTAGTGTTTTATGTTGCCATTTAGAACTCTGGGTTGCTGTCCTTTGGCTACTGGGTATTTACTCAATAATTGACAGTGATATTAATTGAGGCACCAACTGTTGATAAATGACTAGATGTCTTTCATTCTGTGGGTCTCACTTTTCTTTAGTTGTTAAGCTAATTGACTAATAGATGTATATTAGATTTTTACTGTGAGGTAGATGCTAAAGATCCTATTTATTTTTAGTTATTTCCTTTTTTAAAGATTTATTTATTTTTTGAAAGATTTTCACAGAGAGAGGAGAGGCAGAGAGAGAGAGGGAGAGAGAGAGAAAGAGAGGTCTTCCATCCAGTGGTTCACTCCCCAGATGGCCGCAACGGCTGTAACTGTGCTGATCTGAAGCCAGGAGCCAGGAGCTTCTTCCCAATCTCCCACATGGGTGCAGGGGCCCAAGGACTTGGGTCATCTTCTACTGCTTTCCCGGGCCATAGCAGAGAGCTGGAAAGGAAGTGGAGCAGCTGGGTCTTGAACTGGCGCCCATATGGGATGCCGACGCTTCAGGCCAGGGCGTTAACCCACTGCGCCACA